ACACTGTCCCAAATTAACTTCTTATTACAAGCTTTTATGAACTTATGCATGCAAAAAAAAGGTGTGCTTTTTGTTTTGCTTTTTTTACATTATGCTCCAGCTAGCATAAAGGAAACAGAGAGAAATTTGATAGAACAAGAGGGAATGGCTTCAAGCTGCAACAGGGGAGGTTTAGAGTGGACATTAGGAAAAAAAATTTCACAGAAAGGGAGGTTAGACACTGGAATAGGCTGCCCAGGGAGGTGGCTGAGTCACCATCCCTGGATGTTTTTAAGTGTTGTTTGGATGTGGTGTTGGTGGATATGGTTTAGGGGAGAACTTTGTAGAGTAGGGATGATGGTTGGACTTGGTAATCCCAAGGGTCTTTTCCAACCTGAACAGTTCTATGATTCTACGAAATACTTTAAAAATGCAATTAAAAAATACCACAAAGATCCAAGAACCATGCTGCCATAAGTTTAGTTTGTCATTAATTCAGTGTTAAGAAAAATATCACTCTGATATCATTCAGATGTTTATTCCCCAGTTTTAAAAAAATGGAAAAAAAATAATCAGGATACTAGAATTAACAATTCAAGAAAAAAATCTATTACCCAGCTTAAAAAGATACTTTAATCTCCTTTCCAGTTTTAGTTCCTGCTGATCTTTTCTTTTCCATATAAGTAATCTCTGATTTTAAATTCACATGATTATTCAAAGAATACTGCAGCATGTGTTTTACAGAGATGATTGGATTCCATCACCCCACATGACATGGATGCCAGAGGGATACAGCTCAGAAGAGCTCCCTCTCCCCAGTGCAATGGAACACTGCTACTAGGAGTGGGAAGGACACAGTAGGAAAGAAAGAACAAATGGAGATTCTGCCTTTGCTTGTCCTGACACCTTAATTCCCCACTTAACCATTTACAACATTGTTTGCCTGCTTTGCCATGTGGTCTGCAAACTTGTATCCAGAGAAATTCCCTGTTTTACTGGTTTAAGAAACAAGTTCCCTGGACGAGGACTAGGAGAGGAAACAGGAGTAGAAAGAAATGAAGTTATGCTGCAAGCCAACAGCCAAGCCAGGACTGGAATACAAGTCCCCTCACCTCATGGCCTTCCTCTACACTGAGGGCTGTCAAAATCCCACCAGTAGTAAGTACCAGGAGATAAGTGCATCATCACGTCACGCATAAGAGTAAAGGTGCAGCTGGAGTGGGACTTCCTCCATCCAAAGTTTAACAGCTTTAGCACTTCTAAACAAAATCACTAGTCAGAGAAAACATACATATTCCATCAGTTGCCCACAGTGCAGTATCACATAACTCTTTACTTCTTGTTCTCACACACCACAGATCTGTAGCCAGGACATAAGCATCTGAACCCTGACTTCAGGGAGCCATGGGGGGCCTCCATGCACCTCAGCTCCCAGCTTGCAAGAGGTGGAAAACAGCGCAAGATAAACCTCCATCAAGATAAACCCATTACTGACAGCAGGATGTTTCCACGTGATAATATACCAATCTTAAAAACACGAGATAGGTGCTTTGAGAAACAAAGTGGCCAAAATGTGATCAAATGGACACAACGGATGGCTCAAAAAGACAGGCAGCTTGATGTTAATCCAAGCAGAAAACTCCAAAAAGCCACTGTATGTATGCTTAAAATCAGAAGCTGAAACTGGTAGAAATCCCTCCAAAAACACTGTGTGGGTTGTCAAAAGACAAAGACCAGTGAGAGAGTTTCAATCACTATAATATTTTAAAGTTACCTCTGCCATTAAGCTTTCCCTATAATTTCTACTTCTATCATGCATGATTTTTTTTAAGGACAGGGACATTATCATACCTTTAAATTAGAAACAAACAGTTCTGAGCCAGAGTGGCTGTTCTTAGCTTTGTGTCTATTAACTATTTGATTCTTTTTTATATATCATTTGTATATAAAAATTAATAAAATATTTTGACACAACGGTCAGAGAGCATAACTTATCCAACATTCACCTTGGAGCAGTAACATGGCAGTGACTATAACAGGGCAAACCACTATTCTGGAAAAATTTTGAGGCTATTAATACTAATAAAATTAAGAACGCTAGAATAGATATAGAAAAAAAAATCCCTTTCTCACAAAGAGAGCACCTTCAAAGTACAGTAACTTAAGCAGCATATGGCATTTGCATTTTCATCTAAATCTTTAAAGAAGCCCATTATTTCCTTAGATTTGAGAAAAGAACCCTGCTTTATTTCACCACACCAGCCATAAATTATTCATTAATTCTGTTCGCTAACTCTGTAACTGAGCCCAGATGTTTCTGCTGGAGAGGCATTCCATAAGAAAAGTTAAATATAGCCAAGCTGTGTGGAGGGAGCAGACCTCTCTCTCTCCCCCTCCCACCACCACAGCATGCTCCAGTATTATTTGAGAGAAAACAATGGAAACATTTGAAAAATATTCTGAATATGTGAATCTGTGAAATGCCACAGTCTGATCACAAAATTTTGTGTAAAAGTGCTCCCACACATTCCACTTGGGCGTAACTGAAGTTCCTGTTCCTGTCTCTGGGAAAGGTGCTGGCACTTTCCCTTTCCAGAGTAAATGGAAAATTTACAAACAGAAGAACACTCCTTGCCATTTGTCATTTACAAATATAAATCAAGAGTCAAGTTTTCAACTACAAGAAACACTTCTGAGCTGGCTACCAATGGCAATAACCATGCTGATGAAGAATAGAGAGCATCATATGAAATCTTTTACAGAAAGCAACAGCAGCTTACTGGTGGGAACTTTAAATGCATTTCAGAGCTTCAGATGAACTCCAACTGTTTTACACTAGCAATGATTAATGCTGATGTTTATAATCCATCACTAAGAATACAGTCCTGTTAAACAGAATGGAAGCCACCACCTTCAGCCACCCATTCTAGACACTGTTACACTTTCTAATACTCTTAAGCAATTGTCTTAAGCTTGTTTGGAAATGTCTATCCTAAGTTAGAAATTATTCAAAATCATTACATAGTTGGAGAAAAAGTGAAAGATGCAGGGCTGAACATCAGAGAGCCACATTCTTTGGAGTTTGGAGACTGCTCAGGCATGCAACATTGCAAACTACAATCAAAAGAGAGCTTTTGAGAAGTCATCTAGTCCCTTTGCTCTGCCCCAAGGCAAGATCAATCCTATGTAAACTACTATTTCAATAATCTGTTCTTAAAAATTCCCAATGTGACAGATTCTAGAAGATGACTTTGCAGAAGAGGGGTATTTTTGGGAAGCTGTTACAGACTGGTGTGGTAATTACACCACTGCCCTCTTATTAGAAACCAGTTGCTGCCATCCAGCTTTACTACACTTGCAGAGTAGCAGCTGAGCATCCTGTGGCCAAATCCTGCTGTTCTTCAACTACCTGTGTCCTCAGGAGACTCTGCAAATTATCTGAAGTCTGACTGCACTGTTAACAGAAAGGCACCTTCCCACTAGCTAGTAAACAGGCAAACAGACCTCAGTATATATACTACTAGCCACCTTAGAACACAGTAAAACTCTGCATGTTATTCCTAGAAATGTGACTATACAGAAAACTGAAGTCATAATTTTAGCATGGGAAGGCATACTAGTACAAGCTTTAGTCTCCTCTAATGTCAGGAGTAATGAAGCAATAGCACAGGTCAACAATCTTGGGGCAATAAACATCTATTTTTTTTCCTAGTCCACACTACCAGAAATAAAATTTCTGGTAGCTACTCAAAGTTAACATAAACAACAGCTACCACAGCTTCATTTCACTGTTTCATCTCTTCATTTTGCTGTTTAGACAGATCTTAATAACATCTCACTTCTACTTCAGAGATCAGCTGGAAAGCAGACAATGAGAAGAAAAGCAGAACAAATTTTACTTAACTCACCCTAGCAGCAATTTACAATTGAATCCACCTATACGAGGAAATGTTTCCTCTCCAGTTTTTAAGGAATAATACAGTTATGCAACATGAAACCTAGAAAATGGACCCAGTTACAGCACATGTGGGAGATGGAAGATGATAAAGGATCTGGAGGCTTTCAGAAAATAAAGACCATATGTTGGATCACTGGAAAGTCTTCTGTGAAATCTTTGTGGAGAGAAGAGGTAGCAGAGCACAGGTGTGAAATACAAAAGGAGTCAAAACATAAGAACAGACTATATTAGATAGTCCATCTTGAAAAAACATTTTTTAAGTATTTGGAGGGAACCTAGCAGCAAAGGAGAAAAACTTTTCAACTCCTTTGCATTGCATGAATTGCTAAAGCAACGCTGAGCAAACTTTTTTTTTTTTTGATGGAGTGAAACCAGCACCTGGTGCATTTCCTGGTTTATGCATAGTAACAGAAGCTGTAGGGAAGTTTTAGTTCAGACAACTAAGTTTAGAAAGTGAAACAGCAAACCTGATGCACTTTGCAAGCAGTGTCTTAGCTGCAAATCTAAGGAAACGTTCAAAGTTTAGGTTGTTCTTGTTTAAGCAAAAACCAGGCCCTCGTGAAGCTGTAGCACCTAAGTTTGTGCCTAATTATCTTTCTCCAAAAGTATTGTGTTTGAAAACAGGGATAAAACCTAAAGCTAATAGGTACTCTAAAAAGAATTCAGAATGCAGCTCACTTTTTAATTATAAAGGAGCCTATGGGAAAAGAAAGCTACACTTAGGACCCACCTACTTATATGACCTGTTAGGCAGAAAAAGAAATTTCACAAGGAAGAATTTTTGGTGTTTAATCTGCACTGGTTTCTATTATAGCAATTTACAGTAATTTAAACATCTAAAAACGTCCTAAGAATCTCTTACTTTTGGGAGCCTTATCTAGCCTGCTCACTTTATGCACACATACATAATTAGATTCCAGCAGAATTAGGAACAAATGCGTTTTTGCTGTGAGCTTCATTTGTTTTTAAGATTTGTTCTCTGCTCCTTTTTTTTTTTTCTTTCCACAAAAGATAACAAGCATATTCAACATCTTAAAAAAAGAATGAAAAACCGAATGCTTACTTTGGTTGTGCTAAGCAGCCAGGTGCTATAATATTGCAAGTTTTATCTGTAGTCTGCAGTGCCGTAAGTTCTACCATGTTAACCATCACATCAGTCTTGTGGCCAGGAAGCTTGGGAAGCACAGAAAGTATCTTCTCTGCAAGATTGTCACCATGATGACCAACTGCTCCTAGGGAAAAAAAAAACAAAATTGTCAGGTACATAACTGGAGGAAAACAAAACAAATCAAACCCAACTGAAAAACAAACCCACAGGGAACTGGGAACAAAATAGTCACCAAATATTTTGGGAAGATCAACACCTGTAGCCGCGACATCAAGACAACAATTAGCTTTTTCAAACACCTTTTGCTATGGAAGAAACAGTTATTTCTGGAATTTCTGAAGTTAAAAGTATTGATAACATTTCAGAAATATTAATTTAAAAGGCATAAATTAGATTTAGCTTTACAGCTGGCATTAATTTTTTTTTTCACTTACACGCATAATACTCCCTTTGCATAAGAAAGTTTTTATTTAAACAATATTTGCAATGGTTATTAAAAAGCAGGCAAACAATTATATATACACAACCACATGCATACTATTCTTTTCTGAACTAACAGGACTGTGCCTAAAAGGGCTGTCCACGGGCAGCATATGTAGTTACCCAGATAGGCGGGCATAATATTAAAATAAACAATTACCAACAACATGCCACTGTCAAGATCATCACTTCTACAAGGCCTGAGGGCAGTACAGGTGAAACTAACATGAAATTACTAAAACAACTCAAGTTACACAGTATAAAATGTCAACTTGACCATGTTCCAAGAGACTCTCAATTCCCGTTGGCACATTTTCTTCAACTCTCCTGGCACTACAGTCAACTTTAAAAATATTAAGACTGTGACCCAAGCCAAAGAAGAAAAACATGACACACATTATAGATGAAAAAGTTGGAGATGGGGACCAAAAACCTTATTGCCTTTGAGTCAAGAACAAGTCAAAGGTATTTATATTCTGCCACTTTAGCTGTGGTTCAGCTATCACTACAGAGCTGGACACCAGTGCTGAGCTTAGTAGGGTCCTGGTTTTACTCACAGGAGAAAGGGGACTTCTGAAGTCACTTTGCACAGCAGGAAAACTATTTATTAGGTTATAGTCCTGCTCCATTAATGTCTATCCATGTGCCTCCATATCTGTTCTCACTTCTGGACATTTCCAAAGACAGAGGTCTGTTTCAACAGATGAAGTCAGCTTCACATGCTTCATAAATCCAAGCAAGGCCCTCACATCAAGAATATTAAGGGGGTCAGATTATTAACTGCTCTTGGATAAACAGAAGCTAGTTTCCAGCAAGTCTACAGCAGCCATGTATCCATGTGGTAAAACTACCTCATGGTTTATCAACTACTCTGAATTGCAGTATAATTCAAAAAGAGAAGCAAGGCTGAAAAAGGAAAAGTAATGTCAAACTCTATGCTGACAATGCCTCGATCCACAGAAAACAAGGAACGCACATGTGTCCAGCATGTGGTGGTACTGCAGTGCAGACACCTGGTTGCTCAGCTGGATTGAGATTACCAATTTGTTTCACCAGAGACTGTGATAGTCACAGAATGACAGAAACTTTCCTTTCTGCTGCCCCCAGACAGATTTAGACCACTGAATTACAGATGAAATGAGTGACTCCCTAAGCCATCTGCTCTTGAAAATTCCACCATTCTTCTGACTAGGTCAGTCACACTGCAGTTATCCACACTTGCAAAGTTACAAACATTGAAAACAGATGGTAATCTTCTGAACCTCCACCGCCACGGACTGGAAGCAACATCTATGTCTCCACACTTGTTGCAAGCAAGCAACACTTAGTTAGACAAGACATGCAGCTAAACTGGAAATATCTCTAATGCAAACAAAGCTACGTTAATTATTAACACCCCTCCCTTCTCCTTGGCAGAGGGGGAAAGTCTTGGTGCCACTTCAGTCTCCTTCCCACAAGTGCTATTTCCTGGAGGCTCATCCTAGTCCCTTCATAAGAAGGGATTCCTATACTCCAAAGGTCTCAGTATTTATGTTTTCAAAGCCCCAGCTTATATGGTAAGAAAGAAAAAAACATGGTTTTGTTTACTTTTAAAAGACATTACTGTCAGCCCACCAATGCCTTAACTTGGAAGATACTGCAACACAAAAGAGCATGAGTAAAGCAAGCCAAGTTAGAAACATGACCAATATAATGAAAGAAATAGACAATTACAAACAAACAGTTTAAAACAAAAAGAACAATAAAGATATATTAGTCAGAACCAGACTTTAGCAGAAAGGGATAAGCCTACATGAGTCTTTGCTCATTCTCCTCTATGAATGGAATGATGCAGCAGGACAATTAAGTCATGCCATGACTTTCTCATCACTTTGGCTGCTCTTAGGAACTGAAAGGGAATGGTATCTACACTTCATTGATGAGTGCCTGAACTGTGCTTTTGTATGTATTAAATGGCTGAAAACATTACAACCAGCTCAAGGGTGCTATCCAAAGATGATGCCTGGCTGACAGCAGGGGAGATGATACAGAACGGTAAACATGAGTTTGCAGCCTTGGCTGTAGGGAGACATTACTGTGATTTTGATACATGAAGAAGCACTAGAAGAAGATCAAAGTGCTGTTGCTGATGGCACTGAAATACTCAACTTCAACAACGCTCATACAAAAGTTATTATTCAAAGCTACACATTAACTACACACACACTCCCTTGCTATTAATTTTTCTCTGCCTTTTTTGCTCACTGTATTGCATGAAAAAACCACCTGCATGTACCAGTGTGTGAGACCTCACTATTCTCCATGCCTGCCACAGCCCACATCCCAAATGCTGCAAAGCACTGGAAAGAGGAACACATCGAGCTGTTCTGAACACCAATAACCAAAAGGTATCAATTAGCTTATGAATTAAAAGGGAAAGCTGGTAAAAATTCTTCATAGAAGGTGTGAATGCTGGCAACGTGGTGACTAAAAAACACACAGAAGAAGAATTGGGTTACAATATGGAAACACCATATAAATATTTAGGGGCATACCAGAGTTAGCTCTGACTTTAACAAGTGTCACTTATCAAAGCACTGCTCTACCTGCGAGGATTTATTCTGCTTTTTAAAGCAAAAGTAGTGACCTTTAAAATAAGTAGGGAAAAAAAAAAAAAGTAGCATTACACATGCATACAGAGCACAAACAGTACCAGTAATAAGATTTCATACAATCAGAATTCAAGAAGTGAGCACAAAGGACTAAGCCTAGGACCACCCCAGGGCATAAAAACAGATGTACCACTTTCTAGGGCAGTTTTATCTGTAAGACCCTACACTGCAGGGACAGTCAGTATCCATGCCATCCCCAGTTGAAGCCATGTCACTGCCATGAGAGCTGCAAAGGCCATTAAAAGAAGTTCCCTGTTACAGCTCAGTTGAATGTTATGCCATACAGAAAAAAAAAAGAAGATTTTATCTTAATTCAGTATTTTCCTTTCTATCCATTAAATACAGCATGCATAAATAAGGCTGAACACTCACGCACACACAACCTAGATTATAAAAACTAATCAACAGAGCTCAGTCTAAATTTCAGAGTAATAGCTCAGAAGATATTATTTGATTAATGGAACCTAGTTAATCCAGTCAGTTAGATGTCTTCTGATTATTTCTGTTTAAATAGAAAAACATGTAATTTGTTATGTAACTATTTTTTTTTGTAATTTTCACAACAAAGATAATGCAGTTTCTTGACACTGGTACTAGGGGGTCCTTACCAAAATGTACTTAATATTTTAATATGTGCCTTAAAGCGGACAGTTCTTCATATTTATTTAAGTACTGCTATTTTCTCTTAATTCAGTTGTTGCAATTGAAGCTCTAGAAAAAGCACTTTTGAGACATTTTGATTTTTATTATTATAAATCAATTGCTACTACTAAAAACTGTTTGTTATTCTAGCCTAACATCTTAATTTACCCTAGATAAACATGAAACACAAGCCAAAAATCAGACACCTGTTAGTGCAATTCCTTGAGACATTACCTAGAGCTACTGAAAGCTTATTCCACCCAGGTCTTCAAGCCAGAAAATATCTGCTTCCTGATAGCTGATTCAGAATGATCTAAAGTCACCAGGTTCAAAGTAGTAGCCTGACTTAATCAGAGTAGCCCAGCACCTAAATAACTTCCAGGCTTTTTGGAAGTGCTTAGAATATGAAAGCATTCCCATTACTGATGAATACACAACCATTTCTCATATCTGCAGCCCATATGTTGGACAAGATTCAGGTATCAGTAAGGTATTTATTTACAAATCAAGTCCAAAATCTTTCATCTTTAGAGAGGTAAGATTTAAAAAGTTGTTTGAAATGAGCTGCAAATCAGAAAGTCTGTCTCAAAGACTTCCAACTGCACTGAGCTGCTATTTGAAAAAAAGTATTTATTTTTACAGTGCTGACTGCAAATACATATCATAGCTCGAAAAAAATTCCAGTGGCCCAGTTGCCAGTAACAAAGTGGAAACTTGCAGATAAGAAACTTTACGTTTAAAGTTGGAAGGGACTTCAAAGATCATCAGCTTTTACAAAGTGTAAGGCTGAAATTCAACAGACTCTCTCACCTGAAGGCCAAGCGGTGGAGTTCAGGGTAAATGGCCACAAGAGAGAGTATATTAAAGATGATCATACCTAAAAAAATTAAAGGCTTCAGCTAGAACCTACTTCTGCCACTTCCCACTTCTTGACCACTGATTTCACAACATAAATGCTGTTCTTTTTGTGTATTTTTAACTGTAAGATATCTAGCAAACCAATGAAACAAATCTCATTGCAACACTACATACAGGTCCATATAAGACTCTGGGAGTACTGGTGGATGGCCAGCTGAAAATGAGCCAGCCATGTGCCCAGGAGGCCAAGAAGGCCAACAGCATCCTGGCCTGTATCAAAAACAGCGTGTCCAGCAGGAGTAAAGGAAGTGATCGTGCCCCTGTACTCAGAACTGGTGAAGCCATAAATTAAGAATTGTGTTCAGTTCTGGGCGCCACAGTATAAGAAAGACATTGAGGTCCTGGAGCATGTCCAGAGAAAGGCAGTGAGGCTGGTGAGGGGTTTGGAAGGCATGTCCTACAAGGAGAGGCTGCGGGAACTGGGGTTCCTTAGACTGAAGAAGAGAAAGCTCAGGGGAGATCTTATTGCTCCAAAATAACTAGGGACAGGACAAGAAAAAAATGGTGTAAAGTTGTGACAGGGGAGGTTTAGGTTGGATAATAGGAAAAATTTATTTACTGAAAGAGTGATGAGGCATTGGAACAGGTTGCCCAAGGAGGTGGTGGAGTCACCATCCCTGGAAGTGTTCAAGAAGCATTTAGATGTGGCGCTTCAGGATGTAGTTTAGTGGTTGTGGTAGTTGGACTATGGTTGGACTCAATGATCTTGAAGGTCTTTTCCAACCTTAATGATTCTGTGATTCTGTGAATTATTGGTAAGAAAAGAATGGTTGTGTGAAAGGATGTTGTTTTCAGTTACGGATACTGGAGAGGATATATTCCTAAAAACATTAATACTTTCATTTCTCATCCTTACCCCAAGAGCTTTGATGCATTCCCTCTAAAGCTGTCCAACCACAGCCTCTCCCTGAAAAGCCTACTCCTACTAAAGTACAAGATCCCAGACTTCACTTCCCAGATTTAAACTAGGGCAAATTATCTCTCTTCATGCCTACCCAATAGCCTCATTGCCAGGCAGCTCCCTGTCACCCACAATTGCCATATCTTCTTTTTTTCTTGTTTTTAACTCTTCCCAACACCTGAATGCACAAACCTTTACCCAGTCTCACTGGTTCCCCAAGCAGGCATTCCTCTCAGGGTTTTCATTCAAGGCTCTTCATCCAATTCCATTCTCCTGCCATCTTCCCAGCAATCTTCCCAAACCCACAGCACAGCATTAACTGCCCAGATACATAACTGCCCTTCAGCACAGCATTGGGAGCTATGAATCCTATGGCAATGCTAAGATACACAAAGCCAAAACTGAGGGGGAAAAAAAAAATACAAGATTAAGAAACAGATGAGCTGCAGGTGCAACACTGTGCCCATAGCACTTGCTATGGGACATGTGCTGACAAAATTGTAACCTGAATTATCGATTACAGATTATATAAACAGAACCAGGCCCACACACTGTATATGTTAGCAGATCCATCAGTAATACGAGGGGGGTTAGTGAAAATAGCTGCTTCTATATAAATTATTCTCCAAGTTTACTGTTTCATCTGAGAGGTAGTTATTCCAGAAATGAGAGACTGATACAAACTTTTTCTGGGTCACCAACCCTGCACCTTGTTTGGTGATGAGTCATGTCTCTCTTCCTCTTTCTGTATTGCATCGTATCAGCTTAAAATACTTCATCTTGCTTACAAGGTTGATTACAATATTAGACATTTTCAGTCTGACAGTCTCCCAATGGACCCTCACACTACTATCTATGATTCTCAACACTTGCATCAATTCAGCATTAATTTGCAGTGTTACATTTAGCATATGGTTCATTCTTACACTCATTCACTTGTCAGAAAGTGTTGTATAAATAATTCTGTTGTTTTCACTCAGACATGTCTTCCAAGTTAACAATACCAGCCACGTGCAATTGCTTCACTCTGTGACTATATATAATGCATAGCATATAAAATCCATATATACATATATGTACATACAGAAACACTTTCAGGCATGTAGATATGCATATGTATGTGTTTAGCCAGGTATAATGATAAGGGTGACAAGCAGGTACACTGGGAAATGCTTCACAGCAATCCCAGAAGGCACAGTCTGAACTGTGCAGACCACTTCCTTCTCACCATGGGATGACACAGAGGCACAGCTAAGGTCTCTAGTTTACAGTGACATCGAAGTGCCAGAAACAAACCCTTGTTTCTAGCAGAGCCTTCTGCTTCACTCTTTGTTTCCATGACCCACTGGAGGGCTAGGATGTGTGAGCCACCACCACGGCCGTGGTGCTACACATACTCAAAGGCCACAAGGACTCCTGCAGCTATGTGAAACCCTACTAATGGGGTGGATGTGAGCCTGCAGGGATAACAGCCCCTGCCAGCAGTGGGTTTCTTACCCGCGAGGTCTAGCGTCCTATCCACAAAGACAACGGAGGCCTTATTGGTTGCCGTCCTCCTCCTGTTCCGGGCCGGGGCATAGCTTGCCAGTTCAGCCGCGAGGACCCTGCTGAGGACTCCCACGGCGAAGCTCTCCTCCCGCAGGCCCAGGGCAGTGAAGACAGAGTCGAGTTCCCCCACCAGAGCCCGCACCGCAGCCCGCAGCTCGGCGGGTAGGGCGCCCAGCCCGACCTCCGCGG